TTTTCTCGCTGCTGCGCCAGTGCGGCGTTGGCTTGATCAACTTGTCCGCGCAGTGCCTCCACTTCCTTTTCTCGCTGCTGCGCCAGTGCGGCGTTGGCTTGATCAACTTGTCCGCGCAGTGCCTCCACTTCCTTTTCTCGCTGTGCCAGTGCGGCGTTGGCTTGATCGGCCTGTTCGCGCTGTGCCTCCAGCTCCATCCGCGTCTCCTGGAGAGTGTCAGCCGCCTGCTGAGCATTGCGCTCGGCGTTGTCCGCGCGAGCCCGTTCCTGGTTCAACATTTCTGCTTGCGCTTCCAACGTAGCGCGGAGGTGGATCTCCCTTGTGTTCAATCTTATATGATCGTAGGACCGTTGTCTTACGCGCCGTCGCAACACGTTGAACCGAATTTGCCCCTGCTTGCTATCGTCACTGAGGCTAAAGTTCTCCAACAGAGTCGTCTGCAACTCGCCTGCCGTGCCTCGATAGGTCTCTTCCAAGCTGGCAAGAAGTTCTCGGAGATCATCACGCTCTTTGTCCGAGTTGGCAAGAGCTACTTCGGTGGACTGGCTCTCCTCCAACAGCTTCGCATGGTCCGCCGACAGTTGTGCGAAACTGTCGTCCTTGGCACGCAATGTTTCATTCTGGTCGAAGACTTGTCTCGACAGGGCCTCGGTCTTCTGCCTTTCGGCATCTAGCTGAGACCTCAACTCTGCGCATTCCGCGCGGCCGAGGGAGAAACCATCTCGCTCTTGAGCGAAATTCTCCCTCTCGCGCGCATGATCGTCTATAACCTTCACAAGGGTCTCATTTACCTTCACGGCGTCGGCCCTCTCCTTCGAAAGTAAATCTCGAGCGTGTTCCTCCGCCCTTACGGCAGCATCTCTGGCCATTTTGGATTCGCATGCGTTCTTTTCAAGCGTTTCGTTAACCTTCACGAGGTCTTTGCAGGCTCTGGACTCACTGTCATAGTCCTCTTCTAGCTGCGTGATACGCGTTTTGAGGCCCGTGTTATCACACAAGAGCTCGTCATGAGCCTTTTTGAGGTTGGCCAGATCAGTAGTGAGGATGTCTATTTGGGCGCGCAGGTTGTGGAATCGCTTCTCAACAAGCCGGCCAAAGTCTTGCGGATCCTCCATGTTTCCTAGCACGGACAACGGATCTGCACCATCTTCCAACCACGCCGTGTGTTTAATGGTACTCATTCTGATCTCGTTGAGGTACGCCCAGTCTTCCTCCATGCTTTTTCGATCACGGAGCAAGAGTTCCGTTTCTTGCTGCAGCTGATGGTCAAATTCGTCAACGACATGGTGCAGCCTTTGCGCGTGAGAAAACGTTTCCTTCACATATCTCTTAGCCGATTTCCGACTGTAACGGTCCCCCCGCATAACATGGTAGGCATTACGTAGGGAGGCTGTGGTGTTATTGAGATGTCTCTTCAATGTCTCGGTGGCGGTGGCGGTTGATTGCAAGCTGGAGTTGGCGTCTCCGCCACGAGGCTGCGTATCCTCCCCGCCGTCGACAAGTTCGGCGCTAGGCCTCACATCCTCGCCAACATGGTCTGTTGTCTCTTCCATGGATCCAAACACTTCTGCCTCAATCACAGACAACCAGTGACGCGGCCCGACGATTCAAGGACACGGAAGACGTGCTGCTAAAAGTGGACTCCTGCGCATTCACAAAGCTCGATGAAACCCCCGCGTCAGGCTGCAGGGCGACCAGGTCCACAAAGGGCACCGGCTTGGAAACACATGTTCTGTAGCAGGGAGTAACGGGAGTAGCTGCCAGAGAATAGAAGTCGATTGATGATCCGCCAAAGAGATGGGAGAAGGATGAGTCGTGATGGGACGATGGATCTGAGTTGTGAAGGAGGAATTGGTAGGAAAAGAGGAGCAACGTCTGTCTGGGTGAGGCAGTTTTTGACTTCGGGCTGAGGCGGGTGCTTGGGGCGGGGAGGAGGCATCGAAGACGACCAGAGGCACCCAGGAGGGGCTGGTCGGGCGCGGGGGTCTACTTGTAGGAAGAAAGTGAATATCAGTGACCCGTCGACGCCTGAGACCCCACCAACCACCGCCCGGCCCCTGGGTCAAGTGGCCACCGACTCGCCTACCTGGCCGGCTCCCCAACCAATGGCGGTTCCATCTCCCGCGGCTGGTTGAACGCCCAGCGACCCCGCCAATTTACAAGTACTTGTACAAGTACATCATCCCTGACCGCCCAATTGTCTCGCTTCCTATTGGGTCGCCTCGAGACTGTCGACACTTTTCTGGAGCTGAGTTGCTGCTCCTGGAGGCATCAATTCACCTCGCGATCCTCGTGAAAACCTCTCCAACACTCAACGCCCATGATCGTTCTCCCCAGAATTGATGATGTTACGGTAGCCTTCTTGCTGCTTGTCGATTGACGTTCCCAACGACCAGCCGCAGGCGCCGGTCCCTCCTCCTCAGTCCGCACGCAAGAAAGACAACCGCCCAATTATCCACAACCCTTTCTCCATGGCCGACCTCCCTCCCCTCTCGACCCAGAACACACGTGGCTCCGTCTCGTCCGTACCAATGCACGAGGTCGACCCCTCGCCCGTCGACGATGACGGTCCAGAAGGGCCCGAGTACGGCACCAACCCGGCCGATATCGACGCCTCCAAGCTGCCCGCTTCGTCTCACACCACAACCAACTGGCTGGGCCTGACACCTGCTCGAACGCTGCACATATTGTCAGCCGTGCAGAAGTACTCGGTCGTCCCCTTCTCAGCCTACCTGACGATGCACTACACCAACACCGCCCTGGTCCCCCTCTTCACCCGCTCTGCGCGCGAGGCAGACAAATACCTCCTCCTCACCCGTCCCTATTACCAGTCTTTCCCGCTCGAACCCCTCCTGATCTTCGTCCCCGTCGTCACCCACGTCGCGTCCGGTATTGCCCTGCGGCTCTACCGTCGGCGCATCACAGCCAGGAGGCATGGAGCAGAGACGCTCTCCCAGCGCAGGAAGATGAGGAGCAAGATCCCCTGGCCAAAGTTCTCGTGGACCAGCGCCGCCGGGTACGCTCTGTATCCAATGTTCGTGGCCCACGTGTTATCCATGCGTATCATCCCCAAGAAGATTGACGGGAGCTCCGCGTCCGTGGGACTTCGCTACTTTGCCCACGGCATAGCACAAGATCCTTACGTCGGAATGGCAGGCTACACACTGTTCGTGTGCGTCGCAAGTTATCACGTGGTGAGTGGTGCCGCGAAATTCCTCAGGCTGAGTGCAGAGTATATCATCGGGGGCGGGGACGAGGGTCAAAGACGGAGAAAATGGAGAGGCAGGATTGTCAACGGGGTTGCCGCAGCCCTGGCAAGCGCGTGGATAGCTGGTGGGTTGGGCGTTGTGGGAACCTCAGGGCGAGGCACTGGGTGGGAGGCAAGCCACTGGGATAAGATATATAGGGCCATGCCGGTGATCGGTAGGTTGTTCTGAAACTCGGTACCAGGGTTCCGCAGGGGAGTTTTCCAGTGCCCTAGATACAAACAAGACAGGGGTGTCTTAAATCTGTACGCAGTATAGGGATATCCATATAGTGGATTTTGTAAAGATAGTTCAACAACGCCGCCCACGACTGGTGGTCGAAGAGTTCGTTTCTCATATCGAGCCACCGCGTCCCCGTCATCAGCGAAGTTTCATCCCACATGGTCGCCAACGCCGGCTTGTGAACGCAAAGTATCCAAGCGGTGACTAGGCTATGTGTTCGTCTGCCCCTTGAGGCCGAGCACAAGCACGACGTGCTCCTCTTTCCTCTCCCGTGTTGTCGTTGCTTTAATTAACACCCACACAATAAGCCTGCCACACTGAGGATTCTTCGTCTTCTCGATCAGATTCGAGATGAGAAATGGGAAGAAAGCCAGGAAAAGAACAAAAGAAGTGGGTGCAATGTAGCAAGCCAACTGCACCGCCAATATCCTGTGTTGGAATGATCCCGTAGAAAAGATGGCAACCACTGGCCGGTGCCATCAGGCGAAGTAAGGAGTCTCTGCATCCGTGAGGAAATATCTTCGCCCGGTCAACGCGGACTACCTGGGCGGCAGAGGCTGCCAGATGGCCCAAGAGATCTTGAAAGGGGATTGAATGTCCCTATATAGTCCAGGTCAGCATTTGCGTTGTCCGACAATAAACGAATGCCTACGCTGCTAGATTCTGAATTGGCAGGGAGAAGCCGAGGTGGCTCGATTTGCCCTGTTCCGCAGTTGACGACTCGATCACTTCGTTGATGACGTTGAATTTGATTCGGCGCAAGTATCGCAGTCGATATTGCATGAGCACAAGTCGATCAACAATGGCTTTGGCTTGTTCCGTCGATTCTATTGCAAACTCCAGCCTCTGGATCGAGCTCGAGATGAAGTCTACCAGGGTGATTTCCATGTTTGGCCAAGTCAGGCTCAGCTCCTGCATCTTTGGCGTGCCTAGTAGGAGGGCTGAGAGGAATTCAACGAAAGTCGAAGCAGGAGTCGTGCTAGAGGAAATCTTGAGGACTTCAAGGCTTTCCCGGTGGACATCATACAGCGCTTTCATTGTCTTCAAGTCCAGGAAAATGCTCTTGTCCGTTTTTGGATCCGTGATTTGAGTCAAGGTCACACACTTCAATGGCCTTATCCGCTCAAACAGTTGATGAGTGGCAGACTGAGCTATCCTGGTCTGGTATCCGTGTCTCTGTCGCATGAGGAGGCCACGAGGCGGCCCGATGACCGAAAGACTTTCGAGACTTGTCAGCTTGCTGAGCACTTCTGCGGTCCTCGTCGAGCTGGTCTCTGAGAACCCACTAAATTGGAGTGATTGAAGCTCTTCAAAAGTCCCCAGACAGCCAATGTGGCATTGCTCAATGTCGAGCTTCAGCACATGGAGTTGGGGATAGTGCTCTGCTATCCAGTTGAGGACTTGGGTCATGACGATACTCGAGGGTGTATTCCTGCCAGACTCCAAAGGCCGGAGCAGTGACAGATGCGTCACGCTAGGCAGTTTTCCTAACGCAGACGTTATGCGATGGATCTCCTGAAGATATGGATGCTGGGCAGCTTGACCATTTATCCAAGGCGCCACAGCATGGGGTTCGACCTCTTCTAGTCTCAGCTTTAGATTTGTTATGCTTTGCTGCACCCTCTCCGGCCAGTTGTTCGTGAAGTAGGCAAGCTCACTCTGACACTTGCATTCAAGTGGTCTGCGAAAGAAAGAGCCTCTAGCTTCACCATATACCTGCTTGTTCACACACAGCAAGTTCAAGTGGTCTTGACACTTGAAAGCAAGCATTAGGTCGTAGACGTATTGGCGCACTTCAAGGGGGATCCGTAGAAGACAACTCGTCGTGGTTGTGTCTGTCTCGCCGGTCTGTTTTGTAGCCACCTATCAATTGTAAGCCCGGGTCTCGACGAGTGAGTCGTGTTGCTTACCTGCTTTCTCTCTGTCAACAGACTACCTTGCTGCATCTTCAGCGAAGGACAACTTTCGCTGTATTTGCGTTAATTACTATCAAGAGGCCGGGAGCCGCTGTCAATTTTTTTGCAGTACCTCCGATTCAGGTAGCTCGCTGCATTGGTTTGAATACGCGCAGGAAATATGAATGGGACATAAGTCTGATCGGATATGTGAGGTTGTCTCCGGTGAAAAATAGAAGACGGCTTGCAGTCGCTAGGCTGATGGTACTTGATTCGAGCATTTTCGATCTATCGCAGAATTGTGCTGGCCACACGAAGACTGGAAAAAGGTGAACGCTTCAAAATTCGGCAACATTCTGCTAACTTAACGGCATTTTCAGCCCACGAGGCACATTAACATTTCAAAGGGTATCTGCGAGAGGCAGCACACCTGTTATCGGAATGTAAGTGTTTCAACGAGAAGTGGTGTAGTGGTGGAACTTGGAATAGGTTCAGCAAACCATGCGCAGAGAGCATACTGCAGCGGTGAGGGTCAAATCAACATCGGCAATGTGGATAAACACGAATATCGGAGACAGTTGAGGCTACAGCTGGCGGGGGCCCCGAAATATCAGAAAATGTGGCTGCCACATGGCCTCCCAGATGGTCCGCAAATCGACGGCTGGAAATGAATTGTGAGAAGACACCGTACCGGACTAAACGCCACCAGAGCAGGAGGCGAAGGTGGCAACCAAATCAAAGCAGGCCAGGAGAGCGAGGCGATAGAAAACACTAGAAGAGGCTCTCCTTACCGACCCCTTTGATTGAGGAGCTGGAGCACAGGCATAGAGAAACTCACCACAAGTGCCCTGTACTTTTGACAGAGGCAATGTCGACATCTGACCCAAAGTCCTTTGGTCTGCATTTCTCCGAGATCAATCCAGTTTGTGCACTTTCCAACTCCATGCAGCTGTATTGACAAATTCACGAACCCCCGTCGAGCCTTCAATGGTGACTGGGGACGGTGAATAGGTTGTCTGGAGCAATGTAGCTTGCAGAAGTGTGATCCACGTGAACCAGAGGAACGGCGTTAGATTCGGCGAAATTCCCCAGTATCAGGCTTGCTCATGACTTCTCGACATCGTATCGGAATTGGCCAGGGAGTTCGCATCAAGCTATCCGTTGTGTTCGGTTGGTGATTGGGCCACTCACCGGTGCAAATGAACGCTGGACCAGCGACCTGGGATGTCAAAATAGCTTGTCCGCATCAGTAGTGCCTGCAGAGTTTGTTATGGTGCTGATACAGCATGACAGGGCTAGTGTACCGGTGTTAGGAAGAGAAGAATTTTAGGCATTCCCAACCATGCGGTGGTTCTGGCAGATGTGGGTGGATCTGGGATGGACGGGGGAGGGATGCAGGACGCATGATCGCATTCGACAGGGGATCACCACGAGGTCGCCAATCTCGAGAAAAGGCAGGAGAATGGTGGATGAGAGAAGCAGAGACCAATCACTCCTTCAGATGGTGCCCTCTACCTGAGTCAGAGCACCGAGCCTGAGCAGGGAGCTTCTTGTTCTGGATCCTGAAATGTGGTCAGAGCCTTTGCTCAAGCAAGGCAAGGCCAGGCAGGGAGGCGAGGAGCAGACAGTCTTTCATTGCATTTTCCCCCCTTAACCCCCTCTCTCTCCAATAGCAATGCTGGCGTGAGGAACCCGCTGAGAAGGCGCAATATGCAGCAAGCCCAAAGGGGGCGGGTGCGAGGGTTCAGACGTATCACTGATCAATTGGGGGCTTGACGACCCGGCAAAGGGCAAACGGCTCGGGCCTATTGTTCGATCAAATGGGGTAATTCTGAGCGCGTTAGATGCATGGAAAAGGAAGCAAAGACTCGACAAGTCGTTGTGAGGAACCTAAGGTATTCGGGACGTGCGTACGAGGTGGTTGGCTTTGGTGGCGTGGTGGAGTGCAAGTGAGAAACACGAACGTGAGGAGGATGTGAGGAGGTTGAATCGCCTGCGGTCCAGACTCTAATGTTGGACCAAAAACAGCCCATCCACTCTCTCGGGCACAGCAACAACCTCGTTAACATCCAAAAGAGATATCAGACCACCTTTCCTGGGCTCTGAATGAAATGTCACTTTGCATCCAGGCCGCATCGACATCTCAACTCGCCATGTGGCCGCCACATCTCTTTAGCGACATGGTACAGACACCCAAGCACGAGGACCCAAGCAGTCAGAGTCATGCTGTCCAGTTCACGGAGCCCGGACGAGGAGTTCCTACCACCACCGTCACTGCTGAAACGCATGTCACATATCCATTCCGGGCACAAGTGGCTCGATAATGGACCGGACCGGACCAGACTGGACTTTTGTCACTTGGTTCACCTGTCCAAATGTGCCTCAATCGGTGGCTTAGCCGATGTGTCAAATCCACTTTGACCCAAAAGGAGGAGGAGCAGGTTCAAGACCGGCAGCAGGACAAGCACTTCAGGGTCATACTGCAGGCGCTTGTCATTCATCGCCTAAGCAAGATCGCTGGGGGACAGGAAGATGAGCCTGGATCGTGCGCGCTCCCGATCCCAATTTGGCGGAACAGCTCATCCAGAAGGGGCCAACAATGCGCTCGGTGACCACGAGGCACATCCCAGATTCTAAGACGGCCCGGTAGATGGTGTCAAAGGACCAACTATCCAACGAGACCCAGGCACGGCGAAACGCTGTTGTGCTTGAACAACGCCTGAAGTCTACAAGCTGGCAGCTCGCGAACCATGGAGATGCCGTGTCAAACAATGGCCATTATTTTCGCCGACTCATAAACTATGTGAAGCTGAACCTTTACAATCCCTCGTGGCCATGTCGCAGCCACCCGATGCACCATGGGACCCGGATTCCACTGGATGCAGCCCCCGTTTCCACCTGACACGAACAAGACGCTGGCGCTAATACATATATTCAGAAATGCTTTTAGACTTGAAAACAGTCCCCCCACTCCAGTCCGAATCACACCTTGAGTAGCTTCGCTGCATAGTTTGTGATGGTATCAACCTGAGGGAAGCTCAACTCTTCCAATTTCTGCGCGTAGGGGGTGGGAACCTCCGCACCAGTAACACGAACCGGCGGTGCCTGGAGGTAGTCGAACCCATATTCGACAGCTAGGGCAAGAATCTCAGCCCCGACTCCAAAGGCAGGGAAGCCGGATTCGACTGCCATGAGCACACCCGTTTTCTTGACCGACTTGATGATAGCCTCCACATCCATTGGCTTGATTGACCGTAGGTTGATGACCTCAGCTTCGACACCATAGTTCTTTTTCAGCTGTTCTGCAGCGTCGAGTGACAGGCCCACACAGCGGGAAAGAGTCACAATGGTCAGGTCCTTGCCTGGTCGTTCAATCTTTGCCTTGCCGAAGGGGAGGACGAAATCGCTCTTCTGAGCCTCTGCACTCATTGGGAAAGCCTGGCCGTATAGCAGTCTACCCATGTCAGCATGTGGTTCTCTTCTTGTTGACGCGGAACTCACTCGTTCTCCAGGACAACCACGGGGTTGGGATCTCGGATAGCGGCTTTCAACAGCCCCTTTGCGTCCTCCGCACTCCATGGGGCGACCACTTTCAACCCAGGAATGCTTCCGTACCACGCAGAGTAGTCTTGTGAATGTTGAGCAGCCACTCCAGCGGCGAAACCGTTAGGCCCTCGGAAAACAATTGGACAGGGCTGGATGCCGCCGGACATGTAGTGGGTTTTTGCTGCGGAGTTAATGATCTGGTCAATTGCCTGCATGGCGAAATTGAACGTCATGAACTCGCAAACGGGATGTAGACCGGCCAAAGCTGCGCCCACAGCTAGACCGCAGAAACCGGATTCTGTGATTGGCGTGTCAATGACTCTTTTAGGGCCAAAGCGATCGAGGAGGCCTTTGGTGACCTGGAACATGGTTAGCATCGAGGAGGTGCAGCGGGACAGAGGTCTTGAAACCCCTGCATATCTCTTGCAGGCCTTCGGGGCATCTTACTTTATATGCACCTGAAAGATAGCTAGTCAGCATTGGATCGTCATTTCCATGTAACATGGAGCTCACCATTGTATTGAGCCACCTCTTCTCCTAATATGAACACTTTTTCATCTTGTTCAAGCTCCTCTGCGAGTGCTTCATTCAGCGCATCACGGACCGTGAACGTCTGCTGTGACCCGGAGGCATATCCTCGGATTGCAGGAAGGGATATAGGTGCGACTCTGCGAAAGGAAGGACGTATTGAGGAAGGAAGGGCAGATCGCTGTGAAAGCAGCCGCGAGGCGCTCGTAAAGAGTCTGGTCGCTGACATGGTGAGCCGGAGAGAGGCGATGTCGACTAGAGCGACGTGCTTGCGTCTGTTTCAGAAAAGAATGGCTTGAATTGACCAAAGGCGAAAGAAAAAGTTGTTGGAAGTTGAGGGTGGACTGCAATACGGAGCTCGGGATTGATTGGGGTTCCCAACACGGGAAGCTGCGATCACCGAAGGACGGGAAGGGGGCTCTTGCCAGCAAGCCAGCTTCGCTCAGGCCCAGTAAGGCTTAGCTCAACTCCATTGTTCTTGGCATGTTTGGTGTGATTGTGACCAGGCTGCACGACTTCTGTTGTCCTCACATTGCTGACACCCTCTTATCCGTTGAAAGGCTCGTAAAATGATAGCAAGCATTGAGGCCGCTGTTACCGAGTAGACAACCGGTAATTTGTGGGGTCACTTCTCGACACACTGGGTCTCACTACACTACCATATCTGTACGCCATTGCGAAGCAGCCAATATCCGTTTGACCAGACACGAGGTTGCGAGGGTTCCTTTCAGGCGAAGTAACCGTGATTGAAAGGAGCAGTTCTTGCGGCCCATGTCTTTGAGATGTTGGTCTACGCAACGGCGACTCTAGCCCTCTTGGTGGAGTTCTCTTTTTCAAAGCAACCATCAGCTCCTGAGGCGTTCGCATCTCCACTCAGGGATCTGCAGTTCGGGCAGATAAACTTCCTACATACTACAGACACCCACGGCTGGTAGGCTACCGTTTTCTTAGTACCAGGTCTTCTCTATAGCTGTCAGAATTCGGGCTGCGATATTCATGGCACAAGCTAACCCCCCCTCTAGGCATGCCGGCCACTTACTCGAGCCATCTTTCAGTGCGGACTGGGGCGACTACGTCGATTTCGCGGCACGACTGAAGGAGAAGTTGGACTCGGAAGGCCTTGACTTGTTGATTGTCGACACGGGAGATCGGATCGAAGGCAATGGCCTCTACGATGCATCCGAACCCAAGGGACTCTTCACTTTCGACATCTTTCGCGAGCAGGACATGGACATCATCTGCTCCGGCAATCACGAGCTGTACCAGAAGAATTCGTCCGAAAATGAGTATCTGATCACTGTCCCGGCGTATTCCGGCAGCTATCTTGCTTCCAACCTCGACATCATTGATCCAAATACGGAGGAATTAGTTCCCCTTGCACAAAGGTACAAGAAATTCACCACCAAGAACCAAGGCGTTCGTATCGTGAGCTTCGGGTTTCTTTACAACTTCGATCGAAACTACAACAATACTGTCGTGCAGCAAGTCGAGAGGACAGTTCAAGAGCCCTGGTTCCAGGAGGCCATTCGCGACCGAGAAGTCGATTTGTTTGTGGTCATTGGCCATGCCGCCGTACGGTCCGAAGAATTCGAAATCATCTACAAGGCTATCCGTTCCGTCCAATGGGATACGCCGATCCAATTCTTCGGCGGCCATTACCATATCCGGGACTATCGCAGGTTTGACAGCAAGTCATACGGCCTCGCTAGCGGCCGCTTCATGGAGACTATTGGTTTCCAGTCAATCGACGGTCTCTCCACGAACACCAGCGGTTCCAATGCTGAGAATCCCACGTTCTTTAGGAGATACATCGACAACAATCTGTATTCATTATATCACCATTCTGGCCACAACGCATCGACATTCCATTCGGAGCGGGGCCGAAACATTACAGAAGCAATCGGAGAAGCTCGTGAAGCGCTTGACCTGGATCAAACATTCGGCTGTGCCCCAAGGGATCTGTGGATGAGCCGCGCTCCTTACCCAAGCAACGATAGCATCTTCTCGTGGTTGGAGGAAGACGTCTTCCCTGGCATTGTCAGCGATGTCAGACGAGGTGATCGGCCGCGCCTCGTCATCTCGAACACGGGAGCAATTCGGTTTGACATCTTCAAGGGAGCGTTCACCAAGGATTCGACCTATATTATCTGTCCGTTCACCAGCGGCTTCCACTATATCAAAGACGTGCCATACAACAAAGCCAAGCATCTGATCAACATGCTGAACCGCGGAGGTCCAATCTTCGAGAATGTGCATCCTTCGTACGCCATGTGGAAATTGGCGCCGCCCGAACAAATCGGTGTCAAAGAGGATATCATCGTCTCATCGGACCGCAAGCACGGCCACTCGCAAATATCTCTTTCGGGAGACGATCGCGACAGCCTGACGCCGGGCTACACCACGCACGACGACTTGGGTGATGATGGCGACGATACCATCCACTCCCCGATATCCTTCTACCAGGTTCCTAACTGCATCCAATCGACCATCAACCCACGCGCAGACAGCATCAACCTCGACACCGACGAAGATGTAGTCGTGGACGTCGTCTTCAACGAATTCATCGAGCCGTGGGTCATCCTGGCCTTCCGGTTCCTGGGGCTCGAGTACTCGGACGACGACGTGGACCAGTACATGCCTGGAGACAACCTGACGACCTTGATCGCCAAGTGGGTCGCCGAGAACTGGAAGATCCACTGCAAGGCGTGAGAGCCTGGGTCTTCGTGAGATGAGGCAAAGAGCGAGATGGGCGTCCGAAGACAAAAGTGTTCTCTCGGTCTTTGCAAACGTCAAAAAGAGGCGACTACGTGGATATCTAAAGACCGCTGCCGCCCGACGGCGCATGCCCGATTGTCGGCAGATTGGAAATACGGCGATCACTCTCTGTTCTATCTTGACTTTAAGCGCGAAACCAGGCAGATACTTCCTTTTCGAACACCGTCCAAACTTGGCGTTGCCACCACAGCCTGCGTGCAGCTCCCGCCGTCCTGCATGATGAGCGGGAGGGAGGGAGGAAGAAGGGTGCCACAGCCCGAACATAGATCCTCGGCGGCTGCTTGTCATCCACACAAGACGTTGCCGATGTTCTCTCCAGCGGGTCTAACTGGGAAGTTGCGTCGGATTTTCTGATCGAGCCTCATTGGCTCGCCGTCAACACGGATATAAGCCATGTATGAGCAGATCTCCATACGAGCAAATGTGCCAGTATATAAGTGATTATAACCATGAGTTCAGTTTTCGTCATAAACCGGTTTATCTACACAGAACGCTGATCGAGCAGTCAGCGACGGGGATCTTTGGGTCCCCCATTTTCAATTCAGGTGTTCATCCCAGATCATGGCCCAAGTCACGACCCCCTTCCCGCCCTCGGTCGGCCAGCCTTTCTCATTGACCCTGCCCTTCCCGATGACGACCTCCTCACACACCCTGAAGCCCAGGCCCTCGTACTCCTTCATGGCGTTCTCGCTGGCCGTCTCCAGCCAGACGGGCACGCCCTCGTGCCTTGCCTTTTTCAGAAAGTAGTCCATGCACGCCCTAAAGGCCTTGTCGCTCGCGTCGGGCGAGGCGTCCGGGTCCCGGGCGATCATGGCCAGGTGGTAGAACGGGCGGGTCTCGAAGTCGGTGTCCTTGTTGAAGTCGGCCGGGTAGGGGTCCTCGGAGGGCGCGCCCGACGACTGCGACGGCGCGGCGGGCTGGTCGTAGCTGTGCTCGCCCTGGTCCGGGATGGAGAGGTATTTGGCCTTCAGCTGGCGCGCCGTGCTCCGCCACTCTTGCAGGATGGGGCCTGGGTTCCGCCGGGCCTGCGAGGGCGGGATGCCGCAGAAGTCGGGGGGCTCGAAGAGCGCCGCGGCGGTGAAGCCGCCCGATTCGATGAGCACGACGTTGGACTTGGCCGCGGCCGTGATGCCCAGTGTGAAGTGCTTGGTGAGCCGCTCGGGCGTCATCACCTGGGAGACATCTGCTGAGGGGCTGGTGCTGTCGATCTCGGTGATGAAGGCGGTCGTGAGAGGAGTGGTGAGGTAGGAGCGGGAGAGCAGGGAGATGAAGTTGTCGAGCCACTTCTGGTCGGGGGACGCTGTGGTCTTGACGTCTGTAGACATGACGGCTGATCGCGAGGATTGGTATGCGCTGGGATCTACGAGTGAGAAGCAGTCGCTCACAGGCGGAGGCAGATCAATGAGTGTTTCGATGCTTTGAGAGAATGGTGGTTCAGCTCTAGGCCAAGTGGGGAGTCTAGACCACAGTCAGTCGAACGAACGAGCGAGGGTTTCTTCCTTTGCCTTGAGGGTCATTGAGCAGCAGTATAACAGAGGAGAGAAGAGCTGAAGGAGAAGCGAAGAAGGGTGGCCGTGCTTATGGCTTGCAGTGTAGCTGCGGACAGCAGGGGCTCCATGGGGACGCCAGGTGCATCACCAACCAACAGCTGGCGGAGCGTTTGCATTTTGGTGCTTGTCCCTGTAGATCTCTATCTTTGGCTCTCGCTCCGTACGCTACCAGCCTACTTGGCTAGGGAGGGACTCGGAAGCTTGTACATGTAGAGGAGGGCTGGCTGTCGAAGCATCTCACAGCAGCGCAGTCAACTAACTCGCCCCCAGATGCGGGGCAAATGGTGAGGAGGCGTGGGAGGAGGATGAACTGCGCCTGGACCAACTGCGCAACTGGACCACCACGGAGCTTGTTCAGCACCTCCGACTTGCCAGCCAGCGAGCCAGTCACTGCAACCACTGCTGCTGCTGTTGAGATCCATATCTCCAATAGATATCAATTGCCATTCAAGAGCCAAGCACGACCATGGCGGCCACCGACCATCGCAAGTCAGTTCTTATTACCGGCTGTAGTCAGGGTGGAATCGGCCACGCCCTTGCTCTGGCCTTCCATGCTCGAGGACTCCGGGTCTTTGCCACGGCTCGAACCACGGGCCAAATCGTCGACCTGGCGGAGAAAGGGATTGAGACTTTATCTCTGGTGGTTGACGACGACGACTCGATCCTCTCCTGCTTCAGAAGCGTCGAGCAATTGACCGACGGCCGTGGGCTTGACTATCTCGGTGAGCTGATCTTGAGAGACTTTGACATACCTGTGGCTGCACGATTGAACTGACGATGAGCCCTGCACAGTCAACAACGCCGGTGTCTCATACGTGATGCCCGCTTTGGACATCAAGATCGACGAAGCCAAAAAGATCTTCGACGTCAATCTCTTCGCCGTCATGCGCATGTGCCAGGTTTTCTCGCCTCTCCTCGTCAAGGCCCACGGCACGATAGTCATGATCGGGAGCTTGGCGGGTGTGATCCCCTATGTCTTTGGCGGCGTATACAATGCCTCGAAGGCGGCACTGCATGCCTATGCCAACACGTTGCGCGTGGAGCTCGCCCCCTTTGACGTCAAAGTCATCACAATTGTCACCGGCGGCGTCAAGTCTCGCATCGCCTCTCACGTCAAGCGCGTCTTGCCCGAAGACAGCCTCTACGCCCCTCTCGAGGAGAACTACCTGAGACGCCAGGGCCACTCCCAAGAGGGAGCCATGCCGACTGCGGCGTATGCGGAGAGTGTCGTCAGACAAGTCCTCCCTGGCGCCGGGCCGTGGCCCTGGAGGTGGTTGTTGAGGGATGGTAGGAGGAACTGGATCTGGGAGGGAAACAAAAGCTGGCTGGTGTACTTCCTTTCCGGTGGGTATAACTGGACCGCCTTCTTCGACCGGTATATGACCTGGCTGTTCCAACTCCGGAGGCTGAAGCGGAAGGAGATCTGAATTCCCAAAGCGTGGTTCGAAGCCGGTCTGCCCGGCTTACGATCACACATCTGTGATGACCAAGGTCACCTCAAGCTTTCCCACGAGACCCAGCCGTGCTGCACAGCGTCAAACCAGCAGAACCATCGACTCCTCAACTCAAAAGATCTCACCGAGCGACTGCTAGGACAATATACCGAGGCAACACACGACGTTCGCGATCGACCGTATAAGCTTATCGACACTAAATGTTGTCCCAGACCCTGAACCTCAGAGAGACCTCAAAGCAGCTTCATCCCAATCACGGATCTGGCTTTCGAGCTTGGAGACAAGACAACATGGCATCGGACAATTGTCCGTCATGCTCTTCTGCCGGCCGTGTGAGGTGCCAAAAAGAGCTGATATCATCTGCAGGTTTGGGAGCTTGAAGACCTGCACCTGGCAGGTAGAGATTACGGGGTGGTTGAAGTGGATTGCTGCCACTCACATCGCTTGGAAGGACGCGACATGGTATATAGAGACTCTTTGGAAGCAATGAATTACCATCAATGTTCTGCTTTCGTTACAATGCTGAAGAAGCCCATTTCTTTTCGTCCCTTGAACAACTCTATACTTGTATTCCTACATTGGTGATGTGCTTTGCCCTCGTTCTTTGTACACCTTGTCCTACAGAACCAACCATACACATAGTCCAGTCCAGTTTTAGTACAGAGTATATATACTCCCAAAATGTGGCAATCCCTTGCATCGTGGAATCTAGCTCGTCGACCCGGGTTCATGCCGTCGCCTTGTCCAATCCCTGATTAGCAGCAGAATGCCCGAGGTCACCCTCAGCATCAGACTCAACATCATCCTCTGCTTCAGCGTCCGAGTCCATCTCCTCCATCTCAGTGGCTATCGCGTCTTCCAGGTGCTCTTTTCCTTGTCCCTCGTCTTCAACGACGGCTTCTGCCTCTTCCTCCTCCCTCTTCCGACGTTCAACGTCCAAAGCAATCTCCACACGGCGCCGTTTACGCCACTCCCTCCAATACGCCTCGTCGACATCGAGCATTTTCACGACAGCCTCAACCATGACGTTTCTCAGCTCGAGACCCATACTGTTTGGTGTCGTGGCTTGCCTGTGACTGCCAGAGTGGTGCGGCCCTCGAGGATAGTTCAGCCTTTCAAGCTCAAGCCATGCGAGATTTACAAATCGATCGATCGTTTTCCTCAATTCCGTTAGGATGACTGCGGCCCGATCAGAAAATTCCGATGGAACATCGTCAGGTGCTGAGAGACGGAGCCGAAGCCACTCATTGAGCTCCAATACCTCATCGATTTGCAGCTTGAGACTCCGGCAGAACAAAATGGCCATGAGAGGTGTCACCATGGATGCTTGTTCAAGCCATACGACGTCATCAGGCCCATCGAGCCCGGCTTGTTTCCATGTGTATGCCATCAAGCGACCGTGGCTGCGGTATCGTTTCTTTTTACGTCGGTCCCGCCGAGTGTTTGCTTCATTGACTCCGTGTTTCGATAACATGCCTTTGAGATCACGACTATCAGTCGACCAGCCATATTGACGGCCTTTGAAACTTGTCGCTCCCCTCCAGGCGGCTAGTTCAGCACTAACCGTGTTGATAAGCAGCGCTTTAACGAGCACCATATTGTCACTATTTGCATTTAAAGAGTCAGGAAGCGACTCGAAAATGGTCTTCTCGGGTTGCGGAGATGGGACAAATCCAACTTCAGCAAGGACATCATGGAGCGCTTTGCTTGTCATCATCATATCCAGATAAGCTCGGTGCCGGATATGCTTTGTGTCACGTAATTCCTGCATGAGATTTTCGTCGCCGGCCAGGTTAGCTGCATGGTACTCTCTGAAGGCCTCGATGATCCAAGCAAAGTCACTCTCGAACTCGGGGAGATATTGCTGTTTCACGGCCCTGAGTCTGTCGATACTCAGTTCTAGAGTTGACACTAGAGGTGCTCCAGGGTCGTGACACGCAATAATCAACATGGGCTCCAGGCATCCGAACAGTGATCCCAAAAGAATGCCCTTTCCCAGTGCTGGATGCACCCCAAGTCGCCACAGTAACCTGCCCAGGTCTGTGATGTCCCCGCTTTCAGTCAGTGCGCCTAGACTTTGCAACTGTCTGATCGCGCTCGCGACTGATTCGGAGGTGGGCGGGTCTATCGTTTCGAGAAGAAAACTTTCAACATCTCCGTGTTGGGGAAAGGCCTTAAATTGCAATGCCATTTCCGCGAGATCGGACTGCTCGATCTTAGGGCGTTGCATTGGTCGAAGTGAATCGTGGCGTTCCTTTGAAAACAAAGCATAGTAATGGCCATTTCGAACTCGTCCAGCACGGCCACGTCTTTGAATTGAGCTGGTCTTACTGATCCAAGTATAAGGCAGACTCCTGGCCAGAGTCGAAGGGTCAAATAGACTATTTCGCTCCTTACCAGTGTCGACGACATAAACGACATCTGGTAGTGTGATTGAGGTCTCCGCAATATTCGTTGTCAGGATGATTCTCCGACAGCCCTCGGGAACAGGTTCAAAGACTTGATCGTTCGTTTCCCGGCGCAGAGAATGAAGTTTGAATAACCTGAACCTATTTGGATCTAGGAAGTCAAGCCCTAGACTGGCGAAACGGCCACTGGTCAAAAGAAGCTCGACCTTTTCCATGTCCGTTGACCCAGGAAAGAACACCAGGACATCGCCATCAGGCTTAGTCTTTGCAATATGGACTATTACAGAGACAGCTAGGCCGACACGCATTGGACCTGTGAGTTCAGCGGAATCGGTTTCATCGACAGCACTTTGCAGGGGCGAATTCTCATTCGCGCCATTCTCACTCGAGAGAGGCTTTCCTAACTTTATTTTCTGGGCAGAAAAGTGCATCTCGTGTTCAATGTGTCGTGCGCTGGATTGATGGTGACCACCCTGAATCAATTGGCGGATCGAGGGATGCAGGTCACCACCTTGAGATAATTCCGTAAGGATTTCAGGCAGATAGTGGGTTTCGACATGCGCGCGCCGACCCTCTACATCGAGACAATCGACCTTGAGGGCAGTGCCGTCCTCCGCTGGCTGTTTGAAATAGTCGAGGAAAGTCGTCGGATCAATGGTAGCGCTCATCAGGATAACCTTTGGGAAGCTCTCCTGTGTCGCCTTCCTGGCTCGGATAGCCTTCCGAAGGAGCGAGAGGACAAGATCAATCTGGATATCCCGTTCATGGACTTCGTCAACAATGATGTGTGAATGGGACGACAAGGTTGCTTGCGGGTTGGCTATGAGTCGATTGAGGAGGATCCCCGTGGTACAATAAGTTATGCTCCCAAGCGGAGACGGTGACCAGTTCTCGTGGCGAATATGGTATCCAACGCTACTTCTGATGGTATCATGGCGCTCGTAAGCCACCCTGTGCGCCACAGAGGTTGCCGCAATTCGCCGGGGTTGAGTGCAAACAATGTTTGTACATGGACCTTCTCCGGACATTATTTTGTCATCGAGTATGATCTGGGGGACTTGCGTAGTCTTTCCAGAGCCAGTTTTAGCCAGGACGATGACCACGTCATTGTCGTTAATCAATTTCAGGAGTGTCTGCTGCGTCTCCCCTGCCATCAGAGGTAATGTCTGCCTCAGGCGAAGAGTTTCCTTCATTTTCCCCTGCTGTCTGGCCACCTCAAGATCAACCTTCATCTTGATAGCCAACCTTTCCTCATTCTTTAATGAAACCACATGGACTGAAGAATCAGTCTGTACTCGGGAAGGTTTGAGAACCACTTCGTCAAGCGTGAGCCCGTGTGCATGAGCCTGTCTCATAGTCTCTAAAGCGGAGTCTAGATTGACTTTTGGAATATTGATGCGAAAGGATTTGCGTGCCTTGACAGCTTTCTCCTCCTGCGTGGAAAGCGACTGAGGGTCGTCTCCATCACTGTTGTCGTTGTCCCTACGGGAAGCCACCAACGACGGGACATGATCATCCGCCTCAGATCCGGTATGTAGGAGTCGCGCAGGTGGAGGGTATCTTAGAGGTGTCCAGATACATCTGGCATTGGTGGGCCGTAAATAGGTTCGAAAGGCCAATCCACCTGTGGGAATAGACCTGAGCGAGGAAATATCATGAATCTGGGGGGCAACGCATTGCAGACCGCGTGGGTGCAGGTTCTGCTTGTGAGTGATGTTAGACCATTTTCCATATTGACTGGAGAGAATAGTAAGTCCATACCCGTGCACACCAAGCCCTCATAACGGGAGGTTGATCCCTTCATCTTTGCAACATGTGTCTGGCGAGAACGATCTCAATGACGCTGGTGGACGGGCTACCTGGAGGAAGAAATGCGCAGTTAATGTATTGAGATGGCTTTTGCTAGAGAAAATCACTCCGCATCTGCTCCAACGAGTCGATGGAGCTGAGTTGCCAGAACACAGCCAATCGGAGTTCAGGACGGAGCCTCAGATCACGTGTAGCTTCCCAGACTTGAAGGCACGGACTCGTGAACAGCTTCAACTGTGCGTCTACGATCATACCTTTGATGTGTCTTTGCTTTCTCATTGAAAAGCTACATGTGCTTGGCTTGTTCTTGACAGCTAGGTCATCTTGACCCTCTAGACGTTTCACTCGCTGATATTAACAATGCGCCACAATTGTGTACGACAAGGGCTCGTCCCAAGCCTATCGGAAGCCCCCCATGTCTACGTCTCCTTGAAAAAGGATCATCTCCATGGACTTAACGAGACACTGATGAGCGAGAAAGAGCCGGGAATGTTACTTGTTTGAGAGCTGATCCACGGGCAGCAGCAGATAGTGGCATCGAAGAGGAACAGCGCAACGGCTTAGGAAATCCAGAGCCATTAGGCCGCGGCTGATCTAATGGAGCTACAACTTTGCACACGCCCAATCTCAATGGGACTTTTCAAGCGGGATGCTAGGGCCCGAATCTACAAAAACTACGAGGGTTAAGTGTCTTCATACGTGAACCCCCCCGCAATACCGGATTCGCCGAAGGATTCTGCCTGTACAACACTGCTTACGCCCGTTACACTTCTGGTCCATTGTCGGGGCTCTTGGAACCAGCATGGCTGTGCTGACTGATACCTTAACCTAGGCAGCATACTGACTCGTGTTATATAAGTCAAGAGCCTTGTCCACTATCAAAAGCGACCAGAAACCATTCCCTCCCTCTCTTACTGTCTCCACCATCTGCATACTCAGAAACGTAACAAGTTTGGACCATCGCAGGCACAATGGACAAGCTGGAGAAGAAAACGCTCGATGTCACGCGGGGCTTCACTTACACATACTATACCAGTCCTGCCAAGGATGGTCGCCCTACTTTGTTCTTGGTCCATGGTTTCCCAGATGCCCCGGATACATATGAGGAAGCGATTCAAGACTATCTGCTCCCCAACGGATACGGTGTCATTGCGATAGACTGCTTAGGCTACAATGGCACCTCCAAGCCCACCGACAAGGAATCCTACAACATGCAGTTGATGTCCCAGGACCTCAAAGAGATCATTGACAAGGAAGGACTCGACAAGGTCATTCCCCTGGGCCATGACTGGGTAAGTCTCGCTAGGAACGGCTCTTCTCTTCCTGAACAGCGCTCCGTTGTCACCCAGCTTGGTCAACCCAAATTTTCATTCTGATGCTCACGAAAACCTCAATAGGGCTCCGGTGTCGTTCAACGCTTCTACAACTTCCACGCCGACCGATGTTGCGGCCTGGTCCTCCTGAACGTCGCCTACATGCCCCCACCAGCCGAACCGTTCAACCTCGACAACACTCTCGAACTCACCAAAGGAATCTTCGGCTACGGCACCTACTGGTACTGGAAGCTGTTCACCGCCGACGACGGCGCACAGGTCATGGACGCGCACCTGGAGCCCATGTGGGACGTCGCGCACGGCGAACCCGAGACGTGGCTCGAGACACTGTGCAAGCCCGACGGGGTCAGAAGCTTCCTTCTCGCCGATAAGAGGCAGCCCACGATGGCCTACGCGACCGAGGAGCGCAAGCAGAAGTGGATCGCCTCTATGAAGGAAGGCGGCTTCGACGCGCCGCTGAACTATTACCGCTCCATGGTGTTTGGCGTGCAGGACCAGGCAAACGCCCACATCCCCAAGGAGAACATCCCCGTCAAATGCCCGCTCTTGTTCTGGGGTGGCAACAGGGATATGGTTTGCAGGCCCGAGTTGCTGCAGATGAGTCTGGATGCTGGCTTGATCCCGGACAGCACCCAAGTCGTGGTGGATTCGGGACATTGGGCTCATTTGGACAAGCCGAAGGAGTTTGGAGAGGCTCTGGTAGGTTGGTTGAAGCAGAAATTCTGAGAGGTAAAGCTTTAGGGCACGACGCTCGAGACCTGGGAATTGCGATCATTTTTGTCTGGTCGAATACTTGTTTTGTCATCAACTGGCCAGTTCAGACCCTAGATGACTTTATGCCCATCTTTCTCAGACAGATAGCCAATGGACTCGGATTGATCATAAATCAAAAGAATGACCGCCACTGGTCATCAGAGTTCTCAAGCGGATGCCTTTGGAAGCGAAACCTCCACGAAAACAAAGGGCAATGATCTGATACACGCCCGTAAGCATACCGTCCCTATGCTCATCAAATAGATTCACCAACATGTCGCTGTAAATGACATCGCCGCCGCCACCACGAAAGAAACCGAGTAGGCTGACAATCACCACCACAGGCTACCATGCCCACATTAATTTATGCGCCAGTATCCGCTCACCCAGCCTCTCATATAGAAAGGCATTGATCCATGAATCATTAGTGCGACTCATCCTGCCAAAGACAGCGCCGCCCTTCCACGCCACTACTTGCGGATCCAGTTCCCTGGGTGGGCGCCCGATCAGAATGTCCTTGCTGTAGCCGGGTAATATTCCCTTCAAACTTTCTTCTAAATGCGAGCCCAGTCCGGGAGTGATAGATGTGCCACCCGTAAGCATGATCCCAGAGAGGAGATCGGACGTCTTCTGCGAGGAGCCTCTAGCTGCGTGAGTAATTGACGTGACGATTGCGTTAGGGAGAGGGTAGACAGGGAGAATGTCATCGCGCCGTTCGATGGAGAGGGGTTCTTCTTCCTCCACCTCGGGGACCGGCGGTTTCTCGTCGCGTGGAGCACCGCCTTCATTCTCCTCCCCAGGTTGAGGAGTATCATCTGGCAGATTGCGAGCGGGAGAGCTTGCAGCCGAGGGTTGTGGCGTGGCGTCCATTTCTTTGATATTGCTAAAGGATGGACGGCGGGAGTCGTTGTTGAAGGCCTCATCTTTTGTCGCAGCTCCATTAGTGAGAACGCCATTCGTGTGTCCATTGGTCTTCGGGGCGGGTTTGTTTGTCGAGGTGAGGACTTCTTCCGGAGCAATGGCTGTCAGTATCTCCGCTTGCGCGGTGGAGCTCGGGTCATTTGGTTTGTTGTCGTAGATGTCGTAGGATTTGTCGACAAGTTTACGACGGCCCTTGAGCTTCCCACTATTATCAAAGACTTGTGGCCTGAAGAGTCCCATCGGCGCAAGTATGACTTCATCGTAGATCTTAAATGTGTACTTCCTGGTGTCTTGCCCCGGCGCACGCAGGTGAAAGTCATACAGCTGCACCGACACATCTGCCTCGGTCATGGTGCAAAACTTCTGCTTCAGCTCTTCTGCCAGCTGAAAGTCATATCGCCGGTTTAAATTGATCTCTGAGTAAGGAAAGTGGTTGTAGATGATCATCTTAACAAAAGTTTCGGTGATGTCCCTTCCGCCGTATTTCAGGTTGACTCGGGAGTTGTCAATGACCATTCCGTCTTCCACACAAGATATTGTTGTCTTTTGCGCGCCGATGTCGACAATGCAGCACGTCGTGAAACCAGCCCCGAAGGAAGCGGCCAAACTCTCCTGGATGAAGCAGACGCGTCCGAATCCGAACTCGGTGATGGCCATTTCAAGCAGACTCGTCACGTATGTCCTTTCGTAGTAGTCGGGAATAACTATGACGCAGCTATACTGGTTCCAGTCTTCCCGCGTACGGAGTTTGAGTTCGAGTTGAGTCTTGATGGCGTCTTCGATGATGATGCGGATATCATCATACAAGAAGCGTTTCGAGTCGTAGTCTTGCTCGTTGATCCAGCCACATCGAATGGGCCAGAATAGTTTATACCGCGGGCTTGATTGATCAGGGATGCGAAGAGCGGCTTTCCCTGTGATATACTCGGGAGGACCACCGAAACCTTCGTTTGTATCTGTCCACTCGATACGCATGGTGTCATTGTGCTCGGTGATAGTTTCGTATGTGTTTCTTCGGTTGTAGCTGGTGACCATGTCTCTGGACTGCGGCAGCACCTTTCTCTTGTTCATCCTCATTCGCACTTTAAGATCCTGAGACATTCCCGAGAATTTCTTTGCAAAGTCCTCGCCAAAACGCTTCTCTGGTTCCGGTGGGGGTAAGCCGTTGTCTAACTTGGCTCTTTTGGGCGCTGGTTCTCCATCTCCCTCCTCGCTCTCAGATTTCTCAGACCGGCGAGCGATGACCATAGGGACAGTCTTTGGGAGGGCGTCGTTGGCGAGACCGACTCTTAGATTCTGGGATCCGATATGAATAACGATGGTCTTCGCTCCGCTTGCAGCTTCGTCTTCAGCCTCCTCCTCCCCATCGTCCATTTCGATATCCCCATCGGGCCCAACTGTTTTGCCTTGTGCCAGTGCCCTGTCCCTGTCTTTGGCTTGTTTCACCATTTTGTTGCGTGCTTCTTCCTGCTGCGACCGGAAGGCCAGTATTTGTTCGTCTCGCTTGAGATAGTCTGTGTAATAGTTTTTTTGATTTATGGCTTGGATGATAGGCCAAGATGTGAGCTCCATGTTGCTATAGACAGTCAATTAGTTCTGTATTCCTTTTTGACGGCTTTTCTGGCGAGGACTGTTGCAGGCACGAGAAAGCCTATCAAAGACATAAAGAACTTACTTATCAGTTCTCTCCAGGCCTTCCTCCCGCAGGAGGGCCTTTCCACTTTTCTTGCCCACCATTTTTATCGGTCTCGCTCAATCCCCTTGGACACCGTTTACAGTTCAGGACAGGAACGGAGGCAGAGATGAAGGCGGAATTCGTTGGTTATGGTGGCTATTGTAACATCCTGGCGCGAGGTCGTATGGTAAGAGTCTTCAGATCCTTTTTTGTGATGGTACAATATGTGGCAGGGAGAGTCGCAAAGGTTCAAAGTCAAGTCACGCAGGTCTGAAAAGGCTGTACTCCGCAATTTGCAAGTTGGTGGCACGCGTTGAAGAAGCGAGGAAAGTCCCACCCCGGATCATCGGGCGGTCAGTGGCTTGACACTCAAGGCTTCCGCCCACTACAACATCTCTGGCCTTCCTATTATCTCTTTTTCCCTTTCTTCATAATCCAAGTGGCATTAGGTCTTCATCGAAGGGAGATACGAATTGGCGGGATTAGGGACAAATTGCGCCTCCCTCTCCTCGGCTCTATCTGCAAAATACCCAAGGTCCACATCGAAACCAGCGATATGGTCTTTTCGTGACCACTTGTCCTCTGAATCCTGCCGAGAACCGACAGCCTTCCATCGTCAGACATGGGTGGCTCGTTTTCGAAATACTTCACCAACCTCATTTGGGGGAAGAAAGACATCAGGATTCTGATTCTTGGTCTTGTGCGTTGTTCGAGTTGCTTCTCACTGAAGATGAAATGGGCTGACAGATATTGACTCAAGGACAATGCTGGCAAGACCACCCTTTTGTATAGACTCAAGGTAGGTCACGGTTGACAGGTTTGGGTCTTGGTCTAAGCGAGACAGATTGGCGAGGTGGTCACCACGATACCGACCATTGGATTCAATGTGGAGTTAGTCTTGCCCAGGCCCAGACCATTGGCATGAGAGACTGAGCCCATTTGACTAGGTCCGTTCAATATGGCAACCTGAACTTCGATGTCTGGGACTTGGGGGGACAGACATCGATAAGACCCTATTGGAGATCATACTACGCCAACACCGCGGCCGTCATATTTGTCATTGATTCGACCGATATTGAACGATTAGAGATCGCCGCGGACGAACTAAGTTCGATGTTGAACGAGGACGAACTGAAAGATGCGGCTTTATTGGTGTTTGCCAACAAGCAAGATCAGGTACAAATTATCTTCCCACCTCTGGAATATCGCTGACGACCAGTAGCCTGGCGCACAAGGAGCCGGTGAGATCTCTGAGGCTTTGAAATTGGGCGAGCTGAGAGACCGGAATTGGAGTATCGTTGCCTGCTCGGTGATCGATGGTAAAGGGATCAATGAAGGCATGGACTGGCTTTCGTGAGTTTGCCTACTCGAAGTTACATGCCGATTCTTCTAACACCTTGCAGTCAAACTGTGCAATCAGAATCATGATGTGTCTGTTAAAATATACCCATGCATCAATGTGGCGCGTTCGAGAGCATCAATATCATTTTACTTCTGGCCCATTCAAGAGCATTCAACTGCGCAACTCAATTGTGTAGGTGTCCAGGTTGGGTTGGGTCCGCCAAATGAAACGTATACAATCCTGCTCAGTTACATACGCCATGAATGCAGCGATCTCTTTGGTATAGGGGATCTTGACGACATCAAGTCGAGCTGGGCTGGTTGCGCTGAGACTCAACTTTCCTTCTCAGAATACCAGCATGCCTCGCTTTCCACCGAGGTAGGTCAGTTGGAGGCTGCGGTGGCGTGAAAGTCAGCGGTCAGAGATGGCTGTTCGAGGGTCGGAGTCTTGTTTTGGACCGGAAAGGTCTATAGGCAGCTCCCAGATACAGAGAGACAGACCGTATTGGTCATGAGTAGGATTAGCACTTGAGAAGCGTCGTTCGTGATCGTGTAGCATAAACTGCTTGGTGACTGAGAAAATGCTTAGGAGTTGAACGTGCGGAGAAGAGCAGCCCGCATCCGCAGATCTAGACTCCTCGTGTCACTACTGAAACAAATCACCCTGGTGATCGCTCGCAGCAACTGACTTTCTCTCCGACTTCGTTGCCAGAGAAAGCAGACGTTGTTTTTTGGCGGTGTCCTGATCGCGCCGACTCTCTCTCCATGTGCCTACTGTAAAGCCTTGTCTACCGTCAATCTGTCACGCTGGCTCGATTAAAGGGCTTACTCGTCCTCCTCGCCTCCATCGCCTTCTTCTCCCTCGTGACCATCATCAGCCTGGCTCCCTTTCGTGCGACTCCCCGGCTAGGTTCGATTTTGAACCAAGTCCGACCCTTCAAGCCAGCCTCTTCCTCCACGACCTCTCTGAGACCGGTGACAACCTCCAGCATGGCTTCTCCAAAGTTTCGCAAGCCTCCGCAGGCGCCCCCAAGCTTCACGGCAACTCCTGAGTCACTCGTGAAGGACACGAAGGACATGTTGGCTGGTTCAAAGAAGATCACGGACGATATCGTTGCTCAAATTGCGCAGAAGGATGCGACGTTTCAGAATGTGCTTCTTCCCATGGCGCATGACGAGAACCAGCAAACATTGAAAGCCCACATCCTAGGATTCTACCAGTCCGTCTCCACTGATCAGGCACTGCGCGATGCCTCAACTGAAGCAGAGAAACTTATGGACGACTTCAGCATTGAGGCTGCCATGCGGGAAGACGTCTTCAACCTGGTGGACGCCGTACTCAAGAAGGGGGACAAGCTGGATCCCGAGTCTCAGAGGTTGCTAGAGAAGGAGCATAAGGCTTTTGTGCGAAATGGCTTGAATATTCCAGCTGGACCGAAGCGGGACCGATTCAAGGAAATCAAGAAGAGACTCAGCCAGCTAGGCATCGCCTTTTCCAAGAATTTGAATGAAGAGAAAGGCGGTCTGTGGTTTACCCCTGCAGAGCTCAACGGTGTCCCCGAAGATGTCTTGTCTCTATTAAAGAAAGAAGGGGACAAGTACTGGTTGACCTTCAAATACCCAGATCTATTCCCTACTCTCAAATACGCCACCAACAGCGCAACGAGACGCAAAGTCTTTGTTGCGAACGAGAACAAATGCAACCAAAACGTCCCATTGTTTCGGGAAGCCATTCTGCTCAGAGACGAAGCTGCTCGCCTGCTTGGCTATCCCAACCATGCTGCTTTCAGGATCGAGGATAAGATGGCAAAGACCCCCAAGACAGTGGACGATTTCCTGGCTGATCTGCGCAACCGACTAAGCCAGGGAGGTCTGGACGAGATTGCGACTTTGAAGAAGATGAAGGAAGAAGACCTGAAATCTCGTGGCGAGGACTACGACGGGCGCTACTATCTGTGGGATCACCGCTTTTACGATCGTATGATGGAGGAGAAGGACTACCAGCTGGACCAACAGCTGATATCAGAGTGGTTTCCACTACAAACTACGATCAAAGGCATGCTTGAAATCTTTGAACAGATATTTGGCCTGGTCTTTGTGGAAATTGTGGGCAAGGACCGAGACGCTGTTTCTCCTTCTGGCAAGGGTGGCGATATTGTGTGGCACGAAGAAGTCCAGGTCTTCAGTGTTTGGGATGACGAAGGCGAGGGCGGCGGGTTTGTGGGATATCTATACTTGGATCTGTTCCCTCGCACCGGCAAATATGGACATGCTGCCAACTTCAATCTCCAACCGGGATTCATTCAACAAAACGGAACGAGGAGATACCCAGCTACAGCTCTCGTGTGCAACTTCTCCAAACCCACGGCAAAGAAGCCCAGTCTCCTGAAGCACGATGAAGTCACCACCCTCTTCCACGAACTCGGCCACGGCATTCATGATCTTGTATCCCGTACAACCTACTCACGATTCCACGGTACCAACACTGTCAGAGATTTTGTCGAAGCACCGAGCCAAATGTTGGAGAATTGGTGCTGGACGCCATCGCAACTCAAATCTCTGAGCAGGCACTATTCAACCCTATCCTCCGACTATTACGAGGCATGGAAAGAGGCAGCTGCAGCCGGCGGCTCAGACGTCAAAAAGCCCGAGGAACGCATCCCAGATGATCTGATACAAAAACTGATCAAGACGAAGAACCTCAACGGCGCTTTGTTCAATCTGCGCCAACTCCACTTTGGCATCTTTGACATGACAATACACGAGCCCAAAGACCACGCCAGCCTTGAGGCGATGCACATATCCGAGACGTACAACGAGTTGAGGAAGGATATCAGCAAGATTGACGGGCCAGAAGTATTTGGCGAAGGCAACGCGTGGGGTAACGGGCAAGCCACTTTTGGCCATCTGATGGGCGGTTATGACGCCGGTAAGTTTCCCGCTCCCTACTATTTGCACTCTACTTCTCTTCCTTCTTTAAGCTGGACTCTTTGCTGTTCTTGTAAACGACGCCACTCACACGTTCTCTCCTGTAGGCTACTACGGCTACCTGTCCTCCCAGGTCTACTCGACGGACATGTTCTACACAGTCTTCAGGCAGAATCCAATGGATCCCAAGGAAGGCCGTCGCTACCGCCACACCGTCCTCGAAAAGGGCGGCAGCCAAGACGAGATGAAGACCCTGGTCGATTTCCTCGGCAGGGAGCCCAAGACCGATGCCTTTTACGAGGAGCTCGGGCTCACCAAGGGAACGCAGTCCGGCGCCTCAACGACGTGAAATTCGCGTTGTTCCTCGCGTTTGATGGCGCCGTGTGGTTTCTCCGGTTTGTACATATTTCTCCTCAGACCCGAGAGACGACCCTTTTTTTTTGGATAGCTAGATATTCCATGCGCCTTTGCCGAGAGATTTCTGGCCATAAGATCGCATACAATAGAATAACTTGTCCCAAAATCCCTATAAGGTTGTTTGCGTTGCGATGATGTACAAATACAGTACAATATAAAGGCTAAGCGACACCCCAAACAACAGCGGCACACAGGGCCGTCCGCGTGTCTGAGTTCTAGTCTCGATATCACCCGCTCTCCTTCCCTTTTCCCCCAACTCTCATACTGTTACCCGAAGTTATCAAAATACTGTTTACAATTACACAAGCTTCACCGCCTCCCTCGACGTTCGAACCGCAGCTGGCCGTATTGGTCCGTGTAGGGCCTCTCACTGACATGGCAGATGACGGGCCTCCTCCCGAGATCCGACAAGTGCATGCCCTTGCTCCCCCACACGCCCTCCATCTCCTCCCTCTTCTTGGTCTTGGGCTTGCCGCGTCGGAGCCGCAGCTTCTCGAAGAAGACGTAGCTCGCATAGAAGACGGGGCTCTCCGCGCCGTCTGTGGGGCCTTTTTTCTTCAGGAACCGGCCCAGCTGCGCCGCCGTGGCCCTCTGGCCCGTCGAGGAGGGCGGGAGCGCCGCGTTGATGGTGCGCACGAAGCCCGCGTTGCTGGCCGCGGGCGTCTCGCGGAGGAAGCGGTTGATCTTGGTGCGCACATCGTCGCACGTGTCGTAGACGGGCACGGCGTCGCCGTCTTCGCCGTCGAGGGTGATGGACGAGACGTCGTTATCGTCATCCTTTTTGGACTTTGAGCTCGCGCTTTTCTTCCCCTGCGCGGTTCCGGTCGTGCCGGTCGTTTCGTTCTTCTTCACCTTTTTTTTCGGGTTTGGGTTCGGGCCCTGATGGGGGGAGAGTTAGACCTGAATCTGAAGGGGGGAAAGGCTAAAAGATAATAGCTAGCGAAGGAAAGGGCTGCGTATGACAGAAACGCCGGAATGGCAAGCATATCTTCGGGGACAAGCAGATAAAGCGGCTTAAGGAGGGAGAGCGATGCGACGTCTGACCCGCGACGTTAATGAGAAACCCTTTTTGGAACTTACACTCTCAAAGTCATGACGCCCTTCCCCATCGTCTGGATCAGCATGATTCTCGTTACTGTCGCTCTTGCGTTTCTTGCTCGCTGTGGACTTGGCCCCGTCGCGCGTTTGCGTCGCGGGAGGAATGTTGACGCTGCGGTCCTGTAGCGCCTGCTTTCCGGGCATATTCATCAATTTCGAAAGATTTTCGAGGTTGGAAGCGATGTCGAGAAAGGAGCCGCGGGGTTGTGACTGGGTTTTTGCGCGGAGAGACTTATGGGAGCAGAAGAATGACCAAAAGCAATGATTTATATCAGGATTGGAGAGCTGCTTCGAGGGGAGAGTCGATCAAGTCTGATCGCCAGAGACCAAGACGACGTCAGAGGTGGAGGGATCAGCACGGGAACAGCAACACAGGGACCAGTAGATTCGACAAGTGTGGGACAATCATGACAATCGACACGCGACGGACACAGAGGGAAACAGGTTGAGTACCTCGTGGTGGCTATCAACAAGGCTGGCAAGGCTAGCCACTAGCGCGTCAGAGGGGCCAACGCCTGATCACGTGCGACTATACGACATAGGATCTCCCGATGACGTCGCCCCCTTTTCCCTCCTTTCCAGTACCTAATGTGCAAACCTGAATGTGAGCATCTTGTTTCCCTTATCCGTCGTCGTTGCAAGATAGTGTCGTTGCTCGTCCTCTGTCATGGAGTTCCACTTCCGGTCCCGGACTCTGGAAGGGTTCATGTCAGCAAATGCTCAGGTGGGAACCGGAAAGACGTACTTGTTTCTCCAGACATAAAACCATTTGGCGAGGAGAAATAGGACAACATTGTATGCGCAAATGCCGATAAGGACCTTATAGCCACGCCTGTATAGGGGGGAATCGTCTGTTCGGAAAATCTGTGCGCCCGTCTATGTCAGCAACGACAAAGCCCTTCTCTGACAGTGGAATAGGAGATCTTCACATTCGAGCCGATGATGTTACTTGCTTGCACAAACATATTGTACAACGCCGAAGCCACAGTCCTCGTTCGGACTGAACCAGCGTTACGGCTGGTTATCGCTACGTGTATGGCATGCACATATGGAGCGCCCACGAGCAGAGTCGCCAACGTGTACTTGACCCATCGAGACGCCTCCCCGGGCAAGAGCTCTGATGCGATGAGTAAGGGCATACACCTAAAGCAGGAATAAGTCAGCGTGCTCGTTTGGGGAAAACTCTCGGGATCGACTTACCAGATCTGACTGAGTAGTGCAACAAGGAACCTCTGGTTCGTTTTCTCAGACAACCAGGTGAAGACGAGCAGGTTGATGATAAAGAGCACATATGACGGGATGGTGAGCATGTTGACCTCAAATCTGCCAAATGATTGCTTAAGAATCAACGACAAGTACTGAGTAACAGGGTAGTTGGGGATCAAAAAGGACAGCCCAATGGCGTAGATTGGCCACATCTCCCAGTCGCAGAGAGCGTAGAACAGTAGTTTCGGCGTCACAGCTTGTCGATTGTGCATGTCGGCTTTGCTAGGATCATCACGCAGGATGCGGTTCGCGATAATCTTCTCCTCTCGCTCACTGAACCAGCCCTTCTTCCCGCGGAACCACGAGGCTGTCTGGTATGGCGAAGGGGGTAAGTAAAAGTAGGTGGCGATGCCAATGAGGCCTGTGATTGTTCCCTCGAGCGCGAACAGCCAAGCCCATCTTTACAACGTCCAAGTCAGTAGGCCTCTCTTCCAGATAGTCATCACAACGTACCCTGGGAGGCCATTTATGCCGCGCATGTTGAGGATGGCAGCAGCCAGAAACGCGCCGACGATTGAGGTTGCTTGATATGCGGTCCAGAACCAGGCCAAGCGTGCAGGAAGCTCTCTGCCCTTGTAATAATACGACAAATAGAGAATGGTATCCGGAATGAAGTGCTTTGAAGGTCAGTTGTAATCTAGAGCGACGGATGTGTGGGGACTTATCCCTCCTTCGATCAAGCCCAGCAATGCCCGACAAGTGTAGAAAGACGATTTCCCACTGAGAAAAGCTTGGAAGCTTGCAACGAGACTCCAGCAGATCATCTGGATTGGGATCCAACGGTCCGGGCCCAACTTCTTGGATATCAGCTGAGAAGGTAGCTCCGCTGATAAAAAGCAGAGATAGAAAATAGTTTGGCCGTAGTTATAATCGTTGGTTGTCAGGTTGAGATCATCGAGCATGTTGTCTGTCAATGCTTGGATAATGTTTGCTCTGTCAAGCTGCACTGATATGGTATTAATACTCCAGCTCGCGCTGAATAAACGCACAAGGATGGGGCACTCACACGCAAAGAACGCCAGGCAGACCCATGTACAGATCTTTAGATCGATCTTGCGCACGACTCTCTTCTCTTCAGCAGGCTCCCATTGGAAAGAGGGATCGAAACGATGGCGGCCCTCCCACCTGTCAATAGGGACGTAGTTCTCTTCACCATGGACACGAAGGAAGGTCTTGTCCTCGGTAATGGTAATAGAGCTGCTGCCGGAACCAAGACCATCCTCGATCGCAAGAGTAACTGGGACAGACTCTCCCTTGAGATCATAGACTGGCTCAAAAGAGCTCTCATTCGACTTGGAGGACGCCATATCAAAGCCAGACAAGAAACGACTCGAAAAGCTTAGGGCGCGGGTCCAATACCTGGGTACGAGGGGATTCCAACGGCAACCGTTGTATCTTATACCTACCCAGAAAACCCCGGGCTTCAGCTTCTGCACACTCCTCCCTCCTACCTTACCGTGCTTGATTCCACTGCCTCGGAAAGATCAGCGTGCATGTTGCATATTTGCAACCTTCCTTCCACGGCATATCCACCATTGCACATGCTGTCACCCGGTAGACAGAACCGGCGGGACATGACCTCGACTGGCTCAGCATTCAAGCCTCGATCTCTCGGCCTGGATCCAATGAGGAGACTGCTCGGGATAGGGTACACTGCCGATCTCGGTTTGCCGCCTCAACTGACAAACGTGGACGCCGTCCGAGACGAGGCCGACAGCGACAATGAAGCCCGTTGTACCCATTCTCCGTTGTCTTTCCAGCATCTCGCTCGCTCCATCTCAATCGCAATTGGTCCATATTGCTTATCGGATTGCACACGGCGGCGTGGCTTTGGACTTGCAGAGACTTGCGCTGCGTAGAGTCTGTACCTTCCCACTTCAGAGATCACGCAATATCAACCGAGAAGGCGTGCTCACCACTGAGAGCACCTCAATCCATCCTCAACTGGATCGCAATCCCGTCATTGACGAGGGAATCCACGGCTGAGTTTGCACCACAGTCACGACAGATATATCCACGCCCCAACCGGCGGAGAAACGCCCAGGGCGGACGCTGCCCTGCGGGGTTGGTGTTTCGGATAGAACATTGATGAGCGAATCCCAAAGTTGGAGCTCAGAGATTTCTCGTGCCGAACATCCAGGGCGTAGTATAAAAGAGGGGAATCTCACCGGGCTGTGCTCGGGCTCGACTGGATTAGAATCCAACCTAGATCTCCTGTATAGAGACAGATTGCAAAATGGCGACCGCGTCTGCACCAACCGCTCTGAGGGGCGCCGTGGGAGCGTACAAGGACATCCAAACCGTGAGTTTCTCCAAGGAAAACGAATTGAAGGGCACGGACAGGTTTGCTGCGGCGAGCTTCCCAAACTATCTCCCCACCTGGGATAACGAGAAAGGTGAAATGTAAGTGTTGAGCTTGGGCGGTCTGCCTGGTATCTCTCTGGCTGGCTTGGCCTTGCAACTCTAACCACTTGTCTGGATACACACAGATACGCGCCTCTTGAGCCATTCGAGCATTACGAGCACGGAAAAGATGCCGACCCTTCGTTCAAGAACCTTCTGAAGGCCGGCAGCCAGATCGAAAACATCACGGCGTCGATCGGGGCCGAGGTGCACGGTGTCCAACTGTCTCAACTCGACGACAAGGCGAAGGATGAACTGGCCCTCCTGGTTGCGCAGAAGAAGGTTGTCGCCTTCCGAGACCAGGACTTTGCTTCCCTGCCTATCGAAAAGGCCTTGGACTTCGGGCGCTACTTTGGAAGACTGCACATCCATCCCACCAGGCAAGCAAACTCCCCGGTCCAAGTCGATGCCCACACACTCTTACTGACCTTGTGACAGTGGTGCTCCAGAGGGCTTCCCTGAAGTCCACCTTGTCCATCGTGGTGCGGATGACAAGTCCTTCCTCGACTTTCTCACCAGCCGGACCAACTCGATCGCGTGGCACAGTGATGTGACATACGAGAACCAACCTCCGGGGACCACATTCTTGTATGCCCTCGATGTTCCCGACGCGGGCGGTGACACTCTGTTCTGCAATATGGTCAAGGCGTATGAGCGGCTCTCTCCAGCTTTCCAGGAACGCCTCGCGGGTCTGCAGGCCGTCCACTCTGGGTATGAGCAGGCCACTGCCGCCAAAAACCGGGGGAGCATCTACCGGCGCGCACCTGTCTCGTAAGTCTCCCCTACCGGCTCGATGGGGTGGTTGACTGACTGTTGAATAGTTCCATCCATCCGATTGTGCGGACCCATCCAGCGACGGGCGAGAAGGCTCTGTACGTCAACCCTCAATTTACCAGATACATTGTCGGATTCAAACAGGAGGAGAGTGACTATCTCCTGAAGTTCCTGTATGACCACATCGCCCTGAGTCAGGATATTCAGTGCCGCGTCAGATGGAAGCCGAGCACCGTTGTCGTTTGGGACAACCGTGTCACAACGCACTCTGCTCTGATTGACTGGCAGGATGGCCAGCGTCGACACATTGCGCGCATCACTCCACAAGCAGAGCGCCCGTCTGAATAGATACGCCACAGCGGGGCTGCAAATTGGCATGGAACGTGCTAGCCCAAGGATTAGATATGTGACAGACCTACCAGTCTTCAGCATAGCATTAGACAGTCGTTTTGCAGCAACAAGAATAAAATTCAGAAGGTAGTTGGAGATGTCTGCAATTTGCAATGCCACGGCGACTTCTCACTGAGTCTATCCCGGAAGAGCGGGCGACTAAAATCATCGCCTCCAATTGCGACAGGGTCGCTCGAGGTTCAGTCGTGTCACCAAAGACCATTTCCACCATCCTCTCTCCGTGCAAGACATTTTGATGTTCTGATCCACTCCAGACGCCGAACAATGCGCATAATACATGCCCGACCATATGAGAATCTAGTCTCCCTCGAGCCTGGCGACCACAGTGCTCATCTCATCGTCGCTGTAGATGCGAAAGCCATTTTCGCGGGTGACACTCGCCAGTTGAACGTTCTTCGCATCGAGCTTCTCCTCCATCACCTGCTTCAATGTTTTTAAAACTAGGGTTTCAGCTTCTTCCAGTGTTAGAGATCGGTGGTATTCTGATTGTAGCTCCGCTTGGGCGCCCTCACTGCCGGATCCGATGGCCTTCGCGTCGTAGCGGTAGAACGTGCCCGAGGGTTCTGCGTGATACCTGGGCCAGTAAGTAAGGCATATTTTAGCTGCGACAAGTCACCTACAGTTGGGGTCCTTCGTCCTCATCCCAGCCCGCAATCAATAGGGCAACACCAAATGGACGACTCATTATTGACTCTTCTCCCTGTGCTCCTTCACCGAACCTTAGTGCTAAATCGCAGATGGCTTGCGTACAGCTCTCAACCCCGAGTTTTTCGTTGAAGTTGAAAGCATGGTTCTGTGACTCCACACGAGCATGCTCGATCATACTTCGTGCATCGGCTTGAAGACCTGACATGGCGCATCCAACGTGTCTGTCGATTTCCACAATCTTTTCTATGCTGGAGGAGACGAGCAAGGGAGATGTAACGCGCTTTTCGACACCGAGGAGGACGCCATGTGATGTAGCAACCTATAAGTCATGAGCCAGTGTTGAAGCTGTCAGGGGATTATTGACCATACACCAATGGCGGTTGACCCGAGCTTGATAGCCTCTAATGAGTATTCAACCTGGAATAGACGGCCCTCTGGCGAGAAGGTGCTGTCACATATTAGCCACGGGGCTCGTTCTGGAAGACAAGACGCTCACTTGATCCCTCGGTCGTATTCGGATCGTGCGATAAACATGGCGGAAATCGGTCAAGACGATGGTTAATAGAGGTTCAGGACTGTCCCAGAAAAGAGGTCTGCAAGGTGTGATCGGTGCAAGTCAAGTTCGAGATTAAAACAGGAAGCAAACGTGGTGGTGTTGCGTGTGAACAGGCAAGCTGTGGATGCGCAATCCAATCTCAGCCTTCTCAAAAATGTCTCTCCGCAGCCAAGCCCTCCAACGCAGCCTCGACGCGCCAGCACATTGAACGCCGCATACACTTCGCACACAGCACCTCGCCTCCTGCGAGTTCTCAATCGACTACTGCGTGTCACTCGTTGCCTACCAACAATGACGGTCTGTAGAGATGACGTCTCTACATTACAGAAGTGCATCCGCGACCGATCGCCGCAGCGCCAGTCTTTTAAATGGCCCCTCACGCGTTAATCCCACTCGAGCCAGAGACGACCGACCATTTGCCCGCGACAATGGCTCCCCGGTGCTCCCAGATGGCTTCAGCGACCCTGCTGATGGAGCGCACAAACCCTCAAAAAGCGAGAGTCGAGTGAGCGGTCTCGAACATAGGCGGCGGGAGAAATCGACGGTTACAACAACAGAGACCATTTACACGAGAAGGAGTCCAAAGAAAGAAACGTCGAATACCGAAAGCCGGAAGGATAAGCGGACAGTAGCAAGTCCTGTTCTCAAGCAACCGCCGAAGGAGGATAATTGTAGGTATCTATAATGCTTTGGATTTTCTACCCTCTGACAACCCTGCAGTACCATGGGCTCCCGCGGTTTCTCTCGTTCCTCATTCTTCTGCGCCCCTGGCCACAAGAGTGACAGCACCGCCTCTGTCTCGCCATGCTCCATCAGAGCTCGATCCTGTCGCTCTCGAGACTATGACAATGCAGGAGCAAGAGCGTGCATTATTGGACGATTTGCTCTACGTGTTTATGGGCTTTGAGGGACAGTATGTCCGATTCCACGACAGTTATGATCCTGCCGAGGAAAAAGACCGCTTGAATGGTCCATCATTTCATCCACTTCCCGGCCTTGATCCAAGTCTCAGAGATTTGACAAGCTCCATGCTTTCGATGGCCACCCATCACTGCGCGATTGAGGCTTTTATCGAAGTCCAAAGCAGGGATGAATTCGGCTCTGTCAACCACGCACTTTGTGCTGCCATCCGAAAACTGTTGAAAGACTATCTCATCTTGATCGCACAGCTAGAGATGAAGGTCCTTACTGATCCGAAGTTTACATTACACCAAATGCACATCGCGGTTATCCCCACTGCGCAATGTCTAGTGCAGCTGTACTCTTTGGCCCAAGAGTTATTGAAAAAGAACTCCTTGCTGGAAGAGGACACCGATGACTCAATTGACGATTTTGATCCTGACAATATTATTGAGCGGCTAAAGGAAGGTGGTGATCTGCTTCCGGGCAGTCTTAGCAAGAAACGATGTATAGGCGGTAATGTTCTGGGTCTTTTGACAACCCGGCTTTCAACATTCTCTGGAGATCCGGCCGCTCGATCTATTCTAGAGATGCTGTTGCGTGAAGCAAGCAGACCTTACATGGTGATGCTGAATGAGTGGTTACATCACGGCGGCATCCATGATCCGCACTCGGAATTCTTGATCGGCGAGAGGGCTAGTATCAAACGAGAACGCCTCGACGAAGATTACACAGACGAGTACTGGGAAAAGCGTTACTATATTCGCGAGAAGGAAATTCCGCCGCAGCTAGAATCTGTTCGAGAAAAGGTCCTTCTGGCTGGAAAGTATCTCAATGTGGTTCGGGAGTGTGGTGGTGTCAACATAACCAGCAAAATTGACGACACCCCAGCAACATTCGATGATCCGCGATTTCTCGACAATGTCAACAATGCCTATTCATTCGCGAATAAAGAGTTGCTTCAATTACTCCTCACGAAGAATTCGCTCCGGAGTCGATTGCGGTCGATGAAGCACTATTTCTTCCTCGACCGTGCGGAATTCTTCCTCTACTTCCTCGAACTCAGCGACTCCGAGCTGCGGAAGAAGAATCGAGATGTAAATGTTGGAAAGCTTCAGTCTTTGCTGGATTTGGTTCTCCATCAGCCAGGCAGCATCGCGGTGGCAGATCCATTCAAGGAGGATGTGAAGGTGAAAATGAACTCGGTTGGTTTGACGCAATGGTTGATCAAGGTCGTCAATGTGCAAGGCATGGACCAGGATAATCCAGATTCCATGATGGACCCGTACAAAACGCCGGCTCCTAGCCAGGCTTCTGGGACTGAAAAGTTCAAGGATGAGAAGAAAAAAGAGGAAGAAAAGGATATCATCGGATTTGAAGCGCTAGAGCTTGACTACACCGTACCGTTTCCCCTCTCTCTCATCATCAGCCGAAAGACAGTCTCGCGATACCAACTCATCTTCCGATACACACTGGCACTGCGTCACCTGGAAACCCAGCTGGTGGGTTGCTGGTCAACTCATACGAAGGAGAAGGCGTGGATTCACAAGTCCTCTGACAAAAGGTTTGAGTTGTGGAAGCGGCGGGTATGGACGTTGCGCTCTCGAATGCTCGTGTTTGTTCAACAAATGCTCTTCTTTGCCACTGCAGAAGTGATGGAACCAAACTGGCAGAAGCTCATGGTGAAGGTCGATGATGCGGAACGGGATGATTTCGAAGAGACCAGGTCAGGACTCAATCCGAAATCGAAGCCTACTGTTGATGAGTTGATGCAAGATCATGTCGACATGCTGGACTCTTGCATGAAAGATCTTGGATTGACGCAGGCGAAACTGCTCCGTCTGCACGCAAAGCTCATGACTGGATGTGGAATGTTCGCGTCCTATGTTGAGCACGTCACCAAGTCGATCTACGAAGCCGACACGAGTCTCCAATCGAAACCCGTTAAGCCCGGGGCGGCTGCACCCCCAGCTGCGCCCACGGATCCGGCACGAATGAAGAGGATAGAAGAGTCGATCAGGAAGTATGAAGAGCACTTCAACAGGCATCTGAAGATCTTGATTGATGCTCTCAACTGGTTCGCAACCACCGAGACGGTCTCTTTGCTCAGCCTCTGTGGAAGATTGACGAATGCTGAGGTACAGAAACGCGATGATTTATTTCTTTGAAGAAGGCTGGAGCGGAATGATGCGCTGTTTCGACCTGCCTCCATGTCCAGCAACGAAGGGCTTTGTATGAAATTTTGGCACTTGGGAGTGTTACGGGATTGATGAGAGTGCGTGCATGCACAACGGTAAAGACTATGAATGATACCCACAGGCGCGAATGTTGTTCATCTGACTATTTATGCTCCTTGCGTTTTCCTGCCTCACCTTCAACATTTAAGTCTGCGAATCCTGCCAAGCTGGTCCGAATCTCCCTTTGTATATGTAGGCGTCACCTCAGTCACACTCGACATTTCTTCGTCCTTCTTCCCTTCTCCTGCCTCAAGCCTTTTCTGGTGTTTGTGACGGCGTGGATTTGTCACTGGGGGAGCCATGGCCTACATGAAGCGGCTATTTCAGGCGCTGAAGGACAACGCTTCAACCTCACAAGTGTGGCATTCTCTCGGGCGGTCGCACGACAAACAAGAGGTAGGATATGTGTCGCTGCCGTACACTGGTGCCACTCTGACAGGAAGACAGGAAAGCAATAAGGAGACCCAAGACGTTCAGCCCGTTGGCCTTACCTTGTCAAGCCTTTCGAGAGAGTTCTCCTTCGCCGCGTATCTCTCGCCACGGCCGGTCGAAAACCAAGCTCAACTTATGATGGTGATATTCAATGAGCAGCCCTTGGATGCCACATATCTCGTCCTGCTCGCCCTCAACGAGGAATGCCGGCGAATGCAGCGAGGCTGTTTTTACTATTTGCCCCTGCGGCAGGAAGTTTCCAAGGGCCACCCTTGTGACATGGTCTTCATCGACGAGCCCTGGGGCGCAAAGAGCGTGAGAGCATGGGACGCTTCGAGTTGGGACACGCGACTTAGCATGTGTGCTGCCGGTATGTTTATGTTTCTTGGTCACCGCTCCCATCACTCACAATGGGCTTTCAATTCACTAACGACCACATTGTTTTGACACCGCGCAGAAGGAAAGATTGACCCTCATGAGCATGTGATACCAGTGTGCTCCCGGATTCTCAAGTTCGACCTCTCTGAGCCAGCAAAGAGTATGACCTCCGCCGTCTCCTTCTCATTATGTCTATATAAAACCTGACACTCTGATGTCCAGCATCGGGACGTGCGCATGTCTACGCCAGCAACTCTGATCCCGCCGTCGCCAAACACGCCAACATCCAAACCTGGAGTCGCCCCTTGAAGGACGTGTCCCGGATTCTGATCGTCTACGCGCACCACCACGTGACACCCACCATCTCCCACCTCCACGCCGTGGAGCACGCCTCCCAATGCACCACGTTCCCGACGCCGAACGACCTTTCGCTGACCGCGGTCCCCAACTGGCAAGAGACCACGTCGGCCGTGTTTGGCAGAAAGTCAAACGTCGATGCGCCCAAGTCGAGTGCTCGGCCCAACTCGAGCGTCAAAGTGGCCGGCGACGCGGAGGTGGTGCTTGCGCTGCTGCGCATCTGGAACCGCGGCTGCGTGTCCGTCGACCTTGACAAGAACACTGATACCGAAAATATCAGCAACGGCCTCGACCTCAACCTCGGGGTCTTCGACGACTGGGAGGTGGACTTTGGCTGTACCAAGCTCTTGTGGCAGGGGGTTGAGGACCGGGTGTACAACCACACTCTCGACGTGCAGGAGGCCATGTTGCGATTCTGGCCCAAGGAGTGACTGGCTGACCGACTGACTGGGTCATGTGTCGTGCCGTGTGAGAGGGAAAAGGGTCCAAGAAGGTCGACGTGTGTCACAAGCCTGCCCGCTGAGAGAGCAAAGATCGAGTGGTGGGTGAAACAAAAATATACACCATGCGAAAGCCAGACAAGAGCGGACAGACGCAAAGGAAGGGCTGCTTATTGGGAAGGGCTTGAGGACAACAACACGTCCATGGCTTGGTGTCGTCCTGCGGTTTCAAGAATATCTCGAGAGATAGAAGTATCTTCCAGGCGGAAAGGCCTTGAATCAACTCAAGATTTCTCCCGAGCTTCTTTCCTGGACTTTGCATCTCGAGGACGGTCGATTCTTTACGTTGATCCATGCTCTGTCACCTTGTCTTGTAGACACAGGGTTTCAGAACTTTGGCCTCTTCCTCAACTGTTATCTCCATAACATTCGCTTCATGACCTGCTCCAACTCTGCCAGCACCAGCTCGGCCTCTTCCCTTTTGCTTCATCTCCTCTACGTTTTGATACTCCCTCCCATTCCACTTGAGCCCTTTGTATTTCCCAGCAGTCGGCACCCCGGATTTGACAAACACCATGCTAACGAACATCTTGTTCGATTTATCCACACTTTCCTCGCGCAAGAGGAAGCCGCGGCGGGCAAGGACACGGACAAAGGCAGATATGTCTGTCTCCTCTCCGATTGTCTCGGTGGTTGTAGAATCTTCCGCGAAAAGCTCTTCTCGAACTTCATCATCGCTCTCTTCCGCACCATTGGCACCGGCTTTCTTCTTGAGCTGTTGTTTTCTTCGCTTCTTACCCACGCTATTCTCCACACTTTGCCCAGGTTGTCTTTTTGCCCTTCCAAAGCGGGATTTGACTTCACTCACCCAACACTCCCCTTTTCCATCCCCCCTGAGTATTCGCCACGCTTCTTCCACAAAGTTGATCCAATTCGTGCCCATCAGACTGAGACAGAAAACTGCAATATCGACCTCACCATCTCGCAATGGCAGAGAGGAGATATCTGCTTTTGTGACCAAGGTATTGGCAGTGTGGAGATCGAAGTTGTGAAATTTTAGTTTGAGGGCTTTGATGGCCGATTGGCAACCACGGGCGAGAGGAGCGTCACCGCAGCCCAGGTCGGCGATTGCGCAGAGCCCCCTGCGGCGAGGGAGCGGGGAACTCTGTAAGGAGATCTTGGAGTCTTTGGTAGACTGCTGCTTGATTGACTCGTTAAACGCCGTGGGTATTTGACCTCGAGTTTTGATTGCGGAAATGTATCTGTCCACGGGATTGACTGGCCATGAGTCTTTCACTTGTTGCGAAAAGCCGGCGTGGTATTCGGCGAAGAGGTCCGGGGAATTGGTGAATAGGTCCATTGCGGCTGAGGAGGAGGTCGTATACAGAGTCTCATTCAGATGCCGGAAGCGGGCTGATGTGAGTTTACTGCGCATTTTGGCTTGCAGAGGAGTCAGTTTCGCAGGCAGTGGCGGCACCGGTGGGAGGGCTTTGGGGATGTTATCGCGTGGAAAGGGTCTCGAAGAGGCCGTTTCGGCGTCGCCATCGCTGTTGCTTCGGTCGACATGCTCAGCTTTTCGCGGTTGACCGTCCTGCACTGGCCGCTGTTGGGCATTGGACGTCGGCCGTGTCTTGTCCTTGCTCTCTTTCCTGCGCCTCTTCTTCTCCGTTGCTGAGACGGTGTCTCCGCCAGCCTTGTTTCGTTCACCTTGTTGGTGGCCATGTCCCTGACGTCCGTGCCCCTGCTCTGCCGTGACAGGTTTGGCCCCTGCGCGTTGGTTCCATAGTTTCTCGAGCTCAGTCCCCGAGACCTTGGAGGCCTGAATAAGGTCAGGGAATGCGTTCTTTCTCTTTTTGGAGACTGAAGTGAAAACAGTGGGAGATAGGTGGGCGTCACTGGCTGGGGCGGGATTTTCTGGGACGAGGGAGGTTGAGTCAACTGCCCAACCTGGAACAGCGAACATGATACGTAGTAGACCGCCAAGGGCAAGGGTTATGAAGAAGGCATTATTGAAGGGAGTAAATTAGGTATGCTGCAGGTCTCAGACGGTGTCCAAGCCAGTGTTACTGCAAAGCTGGCGCAGGACACTTGTCGAGTGGTTGTCAAATAATGTGCTGCACTGTACATGCCACCAAAAAAATTTACGCTCCCGCAGCCCTGGAAGCCACAGCACCCACAGCACCCACTACTGGTAACAGTAGGCGCCTGGAAAGAGCCGCAGGTGCAGATTTGGGGGCGGGGACAGCGCCTCCACAAAGGGGGTTGTCATTGGTTTGGCTAGCAGGCGATACTTCAGCCCAACGGCCACCCAGCGCCTTATCGACCCTTTGGGCATTACGATACCTTACAAGCCAGCTTCTGCACAAACCGAGCAGGTCCTGCCCTTCACCTACGAGTACTCGCTAGGTACCTAGGTACCTCTGGATGGAGTACGGAATGCTACCCGTAGGGCTCCATCCCCCCAGGTGGGCGGCACTGCAGGTCTCATGAGCAGTGTTGTGAAAATAGATTTCATAAATACAGCGTCACATTCCTGACCTGTTTATTTCAGTATTATAGATGTAATCTTTCCAAAGTTCCTGGGAGCCAAGGAGCTAGTTTATTAGCGTTTTCCTAGTAAACTAGTTCGTGGTTGACCCTTCAGGAGGCATAAAAACCTGCCTGATTTGACGCCCAATAGGCCTGTGTGCCTTGAGAATAGGGCCCTATCTGAGGGCCTATCTGCGTGCCAATCTGCGTGC